CCCCCTTGAAGTGAGGATTTAGGATTTAGGATTTAGGATGAAGGGATTTAGGATTTAGGATTTAGAGTTTAGGATTTAGGATTTAGGATTTAGGGTTTAGGATTTAGGATTCAGGATTTTAGTGGCGGCCACATCTTGGGAAAGGGTCCCCCCGAGATCGGCCACCAGCCTGTTCTAAAACACACATTTTACGAAGAGATTTTAATTTGGCAAAACTCAGCTTGGATTTGCAATTTTCAGGATTTAGGATTTAGGATTTAGGGTTTAGGATTTAGGATTTAGGATTTAGGATTTAGGATTTAAGATTTAGGATTTAGGGTTTAGAATTTAGGATTTAGGGTCCAGGGTTTAGGATTTAGGATGTAGGGTTTTGCATTTAGGATCTAGGAGTTAGGGTTTAGGATTTAGGATTTAGGCTTTAGGATAGGATTTAGGATTTAGGATTTTAGTGGCGGCCACATCTTGGGAAAGGGTCCCTCCGAGATTGGCCCCCAGCCCAATCTAAAACACACATTTTACGAAATGAATTAAGAATTAGCGTGGCAAAAATCCGGCCCGTGCTGTTGGGTTGGGATTTGGGATTTAGGGTTCCATTTCCTCGCCGAAGTGGTTGAAGACATGTCGCTGTGAACGGCAAGACTGTGGACGGACTTATCATATCAAGCGCAAACTCCGGTGAAAGATTTGCGATACCCTTCTAACTGAACCATCCGACCGAGCCCAAAACTAATTGCATCTGTTTGCATGCAGCCATCAGACAAGTTGCGATGGCCAGATGAGTTGCAAGCCGCGGTGGGCGAGCACTGGCGCGGTGTGCTGGATGACGGCGCCAGCGCGGGCTTCAGTTGCAGTCGAGCTTTTCATACATTCTGTGGCACCCAGGGTTTAAGGGCGCATGCTATTATGTAGCAGATCATGTGTTGCATGATCAGCGAAGGGTCGCAACAACTCACGACGTTTTTTTCCGGTGCACGGTTTAAGGAAAGCTCGTTCAACTACTGAGATCCATACTAATGATTCCTCGATGAAAACTAGCAGGAGTATCCCTCAAATACGTTCGTTCAACTAGAGTCACGAGAGTAGAGTTTTCAACTATAGTAGAGATCCTTACTAGTGATCCTCGGAGCAAAATAAAAGCAGCATTCCTCAATTACCCGACTAGGGATCCTGAGCTGAGGCATAATGGGTCGCTCTGGTAGCACTCAAAGCCTAAGCCTTCAAACCTATGCCCTCTGATTATTTTCAAATTGTCTAATCTATTTGCCATCTGCAAGCCCGTAACACGAAGGCCAGTTGCTCAGACCCTCAATCCCTGAGCCCTGATCGAGCTGCTCCATTCTTTTGCAGAACCCTTATGGAACCCGTTGTTTAGGCCTCCTCATGACAGAATTACACCTCTACATTCCTTTGAAAGGCTGCGTGGCCTTCGGTGCGGCCGCTTGGGCAGCCGGCATGCGGCCGATCGGTGCCATCGACCCACCCGTGGGCTTAGGCAGCGCTTCAATATGCAGCAATGAGTCCTGAAATCGATTGACGAAAGCCAGGACCCCATGCGCTGAACCTCGTCCGCCAAGAGGAGGCAGCGGTCGAGCGCGCACACAGCGAGGAGATCTTTGGCGGAGAGAACATCCGGCAGTGGCTGTAGCTTGGCCGCAGGAGCATGGACGCATGGCTGTGCCCACAAAGACGACCCAAGGGGGGGTAGGGTTTTTTTGTGTAGAATAAGAGAAAGAAAGTGAGAGAGAGAGAGAGAGAGAGAGAGAGAGAGGGAGGCAGGGGGGTCTCCCCTCTGCTCCTAGCCCTGACGAAAGAAAGAGAGGGAGAGCGAGATTGCCCAGCAAGCAAGCAAGCAAGCAAGCAAGCAAGCGAGCAAGCAAGCAAGCAAGCAAGCAAGCAAGCAAGCCAGCAAGCCAGCAAGCCAG